ACACTTGACGCCTTACACGAGAGCAACACACAAAGGAAATGTGAAGGATAGAAAAGGACGACAGAAGTTTGATGTAGAAGAAGCATACCACACCAAGAAGGCGCCCGCCAACCACCCACAAACAGATGTGTAAGTGTAAAAAGTAGGAAAAGTAAAACGGTTCTGTCCTTATGACCTCTCCCACTGACCTTTGTCCCCTGACCCCATGCAGCGGTTGAGGTCCTCGATGTTGTCGTAGAGCTGCTGCAGGATCTGATCAAACTCGGCGTACTCCTGCTGCAGCGCGCTGCTACACGCGTTGTTGCTATTGTTGCTGTTGTTGCTGTCGGTGTGGCTGCGGACGACGGAGGGGGCTACTCCTCCCCGCCCCTCTCCTCCTTCTGTGAAATAAGAATCCACACTAGCGCTGTGAACCACGCCTCTTGGGCTATCTCCCGAAGAGGCGGCGGTATCGCTGGATTCGGTTATCCGGTTGATTTCAGAACCGGTTGTCACGTTCGTATTCTTTCCCCCTGATTTCGAGTCTTCTAACGTCCTTGTGGGTGACGGTTCGAAACTGACGTTTTGGTTACGAAATGATTGAGAAGTCTCGCGGATCGAGGAGGAGGGAGAAGATGAGGAGGAGGAGGGACTCTCGGGGCTCGCGTTCGTTTCCGTGATTTGACCAAGTCTGTTATCCGAGGCCGAGGGAGCCGAATCGAAACTCACACTCTTACCGTTCCGGTTTTTCTGAGAACCGATTGCAGAAGGCGAAGCGAGTGAACCTCTGCTGTAGTCCACTTTGCCCCTGGGGTCTCTGACTTGACCCGACTCCACAACACCGGATACAGGAGCTGACCGGCTTCCGTCCGCCGGCGCGAAATTGTCGTACACACTCACGCGGTTCCCGCCCAGCCGCGGACTCACGACAGCAGCGGAAGGAGAAGAAGAAGAAGAAGAAGCAGACTGACCAGCCCTCGGGGCCTGCAGCCTGTTGTGGTCAGCATAGGCACCCGTGTTCCTGCCCAGCCGGACACTCCCCGTGCGGGCGTTGACCGCCATCCCAGAAGCCTCCGTCTCGATATATCCGTTCTGCAACATGCGGGGGAAGCTGCCGGGCTGGTGGTCCTGGGGGAGAAGGAAGATCTCCATCAGGTTGGTGTCGCTCTTGTTTTTGGACACGCCGCGGCCGCCGTTCTGCGCAGACTCGAAGGTCTGCTGCAGCTGGGACTGAGCGTTGTAGTACTCGTCGAAGCTCGAGTCGTGGCTCAGCGCGGACGTCGGGGGGTCAGTGACCGGAGAGCTGGGGGACTCACCATCTCGCTGTGGATCGCCCTCGGCGGGCGTGAGGCGGGCTCGTAACGTCGACTCCTGGGTGATGGTGGAGGCGGACGATGACGTGGACAGAGAGTCTCCCTGACAGGACGACGGCGCGACAACCCGTGCGTCCTCACTCAACTTGGCTGATGACGCCGCAGACGAGT